CAAATGAAGCCCGGGAAATTCAAATCCCGGGCTTCATTTGCAAGTGCGGTATGCCTACATTACCCTCCCTAGTTCGAACTAGGAGGGTAGTGTAGACATACCCCCAGGCTCAGGGTTCCCTCTTCCCAGTATTGGAGAGCCTGAACTGGCACTCTAGCCCACCTGCTATCTCACTGTGAGGCTAGAGCACACAAAACCTACTTGCCTAGGGGTCAGTGATTCTCCCCCCCGCCCCAAACCCAAAAAAGGTTCCCTACCCCTGCTATATTGTGATATATGCCACTAAGTGCCAGAAATATATAAGAATCACTTCATTCACCTCAGAAATGCAGCCATCTTTTGGATGAAATTTATCCACTGCTTAACACCAGCACCCAGTTTAGAAAAAGTAAAGAACACTGTACCCAGTTAAAATTATACTGGGAGCCTAAACTGCAGAACTTAATTGCCTGAGCTGGAATCTGTAGCGGACACCTAGACTCCCACAAAAAGTGTCTTGGACTCTTTATTGACCTCAAATCATCAAGATCTCATATCCCATACTAAATTAAGCTGCTACCACATGCCTTAGGAAACAAGGATCTACTGAGACTTGTGTGGTGGGAATATAGGGAAATAACTCAGCTTTCTGTAGATCTGTCTAGAGGAATCCAGGGAACTAACTCAGCTTTCTGTAGATCTGTCTAGGCTCCCTTTCAAGCAACAGAATAAGGAGAGATTCCTCGCCACTGTCTAGGACAAAGCTTAGGTGATGATGCCAGCCTGCCTCAGAGGGAAAAGTCCAAATACCTGAATCGACACCATCAATTTCCAGGGCCCACTGTCACATTCTGGGCCTCCGTAGCAGATTATTCAAATTATTTTAAAAGTATATTAATAAAATTGTAAAACCAAAATCCCAACACCAATCAAATTTTTTTTTCTAAAAAGGAGGGGGCCCTAGGGATGCCTTATTGCTCTGTTTTCATGTGGAAACAGGCACTCAGCTACAGTACTATAGTGACTGATAGCAAGTTAAGTCCTGGAACTCCAAACCAGATATTCTTATAGTCAAAAGGAGTTTTGCATGCAGGTAGTGAACAGACTGCATTTTTCTTTGCTTGATAAGGTCTGAAGAGGTGTCTTAGCAACCAGGGCTACATCCCAGTATAGGCCTCTGTCACAATAGGAGGGAATCATCACATGAAGGGGAAGCTGCTGAGTCCCACCCCTCACTCCCCTGTGGCCAGCGTGGGAAGTGGCAGGTGGAAACCACCTCCTGGGATGGAAGACCTGTTGCCTGCTGTGGTTATAGACAATGGTTCCGGTCTAATCAAGGCAGGCATAGCTGGGGACAATGAACCACGTTGCATCTACACCAACATAACAGGCCGGCCTAAAGCCAAGTCTGTGATGCTGGGGGCAGGCCAGAAGGACCTCTACATTGGGGATGAGGCACAGGCCAAGCGGGGGATCCTCTCCATCAGGTATCGGAGAGTGGTGGGGTCTAGACCTGGTAAATGAGGAGAGTAAGCCAAGAAGAGGGTTCTCTTCACTTGGTCTAGAGAGGGGGGATGTGGAAAGTGGGTAAGGAGCAGGCCAAGTGAGGGGTCCTCTTCAGTGGATACCAGGTAGGAAAGAAGATGTATTCCTATGCTTAATTACTGAAGCTGCTATTATTTTTATACATCAGAGATTTTTGTTTAAGAAAGTATTCATGCCATTTTCAGGGGTTTCATTTTTTTTAAGAGAAGCTTCCATAAAGGTACACTGATTTATATAGTTTTCTTTTAAATGGTATAGCACTTCTCCTACAAAACACTACTTTGGGGACCCATGCTGGGAACTATAAAATATTGCACCCATTTTACAGTAGAAGTACAATGATTGGAAGGCGTGATATGACATGCTGAACAGTTTTATAGTAGCCAAGATGACTAGGTTGTGGACACACTGCACATTTGTATTATTTACAACAGTTCACAAGGACTACTGTAAAATGTAATGGTGCATGTCTCTGATGGAGTTAAAGCTATTGATTGGCAATGCACCTACAAATAGGTTGCGTAGGGAATAGAACAGCAGGGAGAGGAATAAGAGGAGGGAATCAGAAAAACTCTGGATTAGGAGAAGACATATTCAGTGATCTGGAAAAAAGGAAACACTAAAAGCAGAAAAATTAGAATGAAAAGAAAGAAGAGACTGAAAAATTGGACATACTGAAGAGTAAAAAAGGAGACATAGAAAAAGGAAAGACAAATTAATAGACTCTCAATGTTCATGTAGACTATCTTACCAATTAGATCAAATTAGCAAATGTGAATCTAGATGCTAAACTAGATACTCCAGACATTTTTTTCCTGACACAAGTGTTTATGCCAGGGATGGGAACCTTTTTTAGGTTGGGGGCCTCTGAACCACAGAAAAATCAGTCGGGGGCTACACTGAGATGGAAAAAGACACTCTCCACATTCCCCCAACATACACCAGAGCCTAGGGTATGTCTACAGAGATGGAAAAAGACACTTTCCACATTCCCCCAACATACACCAGAGCCTAGAGCGGCCCAGGCTAGTAGATTTTGTGTGCTCCAGCCCCACAGGAAGGTGGCAGGAGGGGTGAGGCTGGAGCGCCAGCATGGGCTCCGCAGTGCTGTGTGGGGAGGCCCTGAGCCTTGGGGGCTGGATCCAGGCAAGACAGTGGTCACATCTGGCCCCCGGGCCTTAGGCTATGTCTAGACCAGTGTTTCTCAACCTTTTTTTTATAAAGTACCCCTTTAAAAAATTATAAGTACCCCCAGTACCTACAGTTTCCAGACACTCAATTTCTTTTTCTATCATTGCAACACATTTGTTTAAACGACTTAATCATTGCCAGGTGGGCAATGAAATTTTTGGGTGTAAAAAGTACAAAAATAATAAAGCACTGTAAAACTTAAAACAAAAATTCAGTTTTCTCCAAATTTCAGTTGTGTTGACATACCCCCCAAGACTTCTCTCGAGTATCCCTAAGGGTACTCGTCTACAAGTTGAGAATAGGGTTGCCAGATGGTTGAACCCAATATACCAAACACCCTCCTCTTCCCCCCCCCCCCCACAGTCCTGATTGATAACTCAACCTGAACTTTACTTCCAGAGACAAAAGTGAGTTATACTAGTAATTGCACTTATATGTACTCCTCATTTAAGACCTGATTCTGACATTCTTACTTTGAGCAGCACCTGAGTGTAGGGTTGCCAGATGATTGAACCAAAAATACCGAACACTTCCCCCTCCAAAAAAAACACTGGGGAAAATTCTGTTGAGGGGGAAAAAAAGAGGGGGGAGACCGAAGTTGTTGAGCAAAAAAATAAATAAAATAAAATAAAACAGCATTAAAACATCATGGCCCCTTTCAGAGTGAGAGAGTGAGTGCAGAGTTAAAATAGGGATAGGAACAGGGGCGTGGTTGAACACTAAGACCCAGGGAAGGCATTGCTTCCTCTTGGTCTTTAGGCTTTTTGCCAGTGGCCATTTTGTATTTTTGTTCAAGCCAGAACTTAGCTTCCCTGAGGAACCAGGTAAGCATGGAGTTCAAGGGTGGGGGGCTGGGGGTGTTGGGGTCAGGAGCTGGCCCCGGGTGCTAGGGTTACCAGGTGTTCGGTATTTTCACCTCCTGGCTGGGAAAAAAAATCAGAAAATACCAGACATTTTAGGTGTCCGGGTCAATACTGAACACCTGGCAACCCTAGTTGAGAAACATTGGTCTAGACAGCAGAGCTTTTCTAGGACACCTCCGGAAAAGCTCTGCTGCATCCAAGGAATGCGTCCGCTTTTTCAGAACAGTTTCTGAAAAAGCGGACATATTATTTCGGCATCGCTGTATTCCTCTCGTGAGAGGAATAAGGGATGTTCCGAAAGAGGAGGGTTTTTTTCAAAATTTGGCCCTGTGTAGATGGGCCAAATTTTGAAGAAGCCTCTTTTGGGAAAAAAATACATCTATCTCATAGAACTGGAAGGAACTGGTCATTGAGTCCAGTCACCTGACTTTACAGCAGGACCAAATACTGTTGCTGACAGATTTATTCCAGATCACTAAATGCCTCCCTCAAGGATTGAACTCATAACTGTGGGTTTAAGGAGGTCAGTGTGCAAACTACTGAGCTATCCCTCCCCCCTAATTTGTGTATCTTTTGCCAACTTTTCTCTGCAGTATAGACATAGCCTTAGGTTCCCTACCCTTGGTTTACACTTCATTTTTTAGGACTTTTCCCAGGGTAAACCACAAACAACCAATTCTCTGAAGTTAAAACAGGTTTACAAATTCTAGTGTAGACAAACCCACAATTTTTAAAGGATTGGAATTTAAAGACAAGCACTTTATGACTGCAAAGAAAATCTGAATGTGAAGACTAGGCTCTCTCTGCTGTGGTTTATGCAGAAACTAGTGCTTATATAATTAAACAGGTTTTAATGAATAACTTTTGTTATTTCCATGCAATTCTCTGTGCATACTCTTCCTTACACAAACACTTTACAAGGAATAACAAAAGATGGAAATTAAAACCTCACATTGCTGTAGAGTAGACTGAGGAACAGGGTTATGCTGCCATAGTCATGTTATGTAAACATGGTGGCTGTGTCTACACTGGCAAGTTATTCTGGAAAATCAGCCGCTTTTCCGGAAAAACTTGCTAGCTGTCTACACTGGCCGCTTGAATTTCCGGAAAAGCACTGACGATCTAATGTAAAATCATCAGTGCTTTTCCGGAAAAACTATGCTGCTCCCGTTCGGGCAAAAGTCTTTTTCCAGAAAACTGTTCCAGAAAAGGGCCAGTATAGACAGCACAGCAGTGTTTTCCGCAAAAAAGCCCCGATCGCGAAAATGACGATCAGGGCTTTTTTGCAGAAAAGTGCGTCTAGATTGGCCACGGACGCTTTTCCAGAAAAAGTGCTTTTCCGGATAAGCATCCTGCCAATCTAGACGCGCTTTTCCGAAAATGCTTTTAACGGAAAACTTTTCCGTTAAAAGCATTTCCGGAAAATCATGCCAGTGTAGACGTAGCCGGTCTGTTTGTTCTTTCACATAACTACAAACAAAACACCTTGTTACAATGCCCAGTTGAACCCTTCCCATACCTGGTGCTAGTTTCTAGGCAGACTGTTAAACCTTGTTTTAGGTGTGGCCTCTTAAATGTTTCTTACCACTATCGTAAGTGAAGGGTGTGTTCACACATCAATCTCAATGAGCTTTTAACTCAACCCAAAACAAGGCTCTATCCAGAGCATAATCTTATTATGAGGCAAATTTGTGCATAGACCAGCCCTTCTTGTGTCTCCAGATAGCCAGCCTCAAACAACAAAAACTGCCTCCTTTCAGCTAACAGTGCAATTCAACAGGAATGCATAATAGGTGTAAAATTCTAATAAATCAGAATTATAGCATTTTGCACCACTATGAATTCACTATGTTCTGCTGTAAATGATTGCACAAGGGTGCAGGCCATTGGCCAATGGAGAATCTAGTCTTCAGTTTCTGCCTATCACTGCTAGTGGTAGCTCAGCTCCCCTGGCATTAACAATGTTGAGAGAATTATCATAGACCACTGCTCCCAGTAATGTTTTAAACACCTAGTTATCTAGCCCTGTTCAGATCAGAATTAATCAACATGTAGGGTTGCCAGATACTTTCACAAAAAATACCTAACATGGTGGAAAAAAAATTGGTTGAGCAAACCCCCCCCCCCCCGCAAAAAAAAAATTGCACGGTGCCTTTAAATCCCCACTCTCCTCCCGCCCCCACCAGACACAGCAGGGAAAGAATGTCCCAAGCATTTTACACGTCCGGTATTTTCTGTTTTTTCTACTGTACGGAAGCCGCAATACAGGACACCAGGTAACCCTAATAGGCTCCATCTTTGCTGGGGGTGGGGCACTTCACACGCCAACATGGTGCTTAAAACACTGCCAGAACCTGTGTTATGTGAGGGCTCCCAATACTGATGATACATTTTTGCAGGATTTCTCTTGATTGCAGGAGGCAATAATCAATTTTCCTAAGCCAAGGATATTATTCATTTTATTTTTCCAAGCACCGAGTTTTACATATAGTGAATTTTATGAAATATTATTCTTGAAGCACCTGAAAAGGTGAACCTGGTAAATGGTGAATGCTGGGGCTGTGGACATGGTGCGGGTGACTGCCTTTTCTTTTGTCTGAACCTCACGTAGATACCCAGTGGAGCATGGGATTGTCACAAGCTGGGCAGACATGGAGGCTGTGTGGAAGAATGTCTATGAACAAGACCTGAAGATGAGGGCAAGCGAGCGGCCAGCACTGCTCACTGAGGCACCGCTCAACCCACTGGTCAATCGAGAGCATATGACAAAACTTCTCTTTGAGCGCTTTGATGTACCAGCCCTTTATGTGGCTATCCAGGCTGTACTGGCACTGTATGCTTCAGGCCTTACCACAGGCTGTGTGATGGACTCTGGGGATGGTGTTACCCACACAGTACCTATCTTTGAGGGCTATTGCTTGCCCCATGCAGTTCTCCGGCTTGACTTGGCTGGCCGTGACCTCACAGACTATCTGATGAGAATACTCAGAGAGAGTGGTATTTCCCTGGTCAGCACAGCTGAAAGGGAGATTGTACGAGACATAAAGGAGAACTTGTGTTACGTGTGTCTGAATCCAGAGGAGGAATTGGCTAAGAAACCAAGTGAAGTAGAGAAAACATACAAGATGCCTGATGGGCAGGTTATTAAAGTCCATAATCAAAGGTTCCGCTGCCCTGAGACCCTTTTCCGCCCATCTAACATTGGCATGGAAACCTCAGGGATTGACAAGCTTTGCTTCAACACCGTCATGAAATGTGATATTGACCTGAGGACCAGCTTCTTCTCCAATATAATCCTATCTGGTGGTTCCAGCCTCTTCCCTGGCATGACTGAGCGTTTGACCAAGGAGCTTGTCCGCATGGTCCCCAATGACACTGAGGTGAAGATCATAGCTCCTCCTGACAGGAAGCTCTCTGTTTGGATGGGAGGCTCCATCCTCTGCTCCCTGTCTGCTTTCCAGCAAATGTGGATTACCATGGCAGAGTACAGAGAAGTTGGGCCTAACATAGTGCATAGAAAATGCTTCTGAAATTCAGCTGTTCTGAAAAGGATTGAATTGAAAGTGTTGTGAGAAAGAAAAGAACCTCAAAATTATAGTAACTCCAAAACTCCAGGAAGCCTATGCCTATGTAGTATTTCTCTTGTGAAAGGTTAATAAAAATCATGAGTCAGCATGTGCTTGCTCTAGATATGACTTTATGAATGTGTAAAATGTTCTGGATTTCAGGTGAGAATTCTTTACACAAAGGCATTGCAGAAAACAAGTGAAGTAGATGAACTTGATGATTCTACAACATCACTTATACTTATATGTATGTATAAGTGTAATAGCCCCACACTTTCTAATAGATATTTAATTTACTAACATGTAATGTTGAGCAGGACACAAGCCATCACAATGTTATTATGCATATTTGGTAGATTATTTTTCTAGTGGAACCTAGTTGGACGAGAGATATTCACAGAGCAGAAACTTCTCTCTTTTGAGTTATGAACACAAAATAAAGAGATCTTCCTGATTTTCCTTTGAGTGGAACTAAGGTCATACCAAGGGCCTGCCTCATTACTAAAAATTCTCCCTAGAATAGGGTAGATAACTTTCTGGCCATGTGGATTTGATGCCTATGTTGAAGAGACAACAATCTCTCTCACCATATGGACATAGTGTCATTGGAACTTATAGAGGGTGGGGATAATTAGAGGGAGAACAGAACAGGGTTCCTGGCCATGTGACTTGTGCCTGTAGGACAAATGAGGTAACAGAAGAGGCTCGGTGGCCCAGTTTTATACTGCTGCTCAAAAGAATAGAGGACAGGTGGGAACCTATAGCTTGTGGGCTGGATTTAACCCCCAGCTTGCCTTGATCCAGTTCCCCAGTGAGGCTTTGGACTTCCCCAGTCCTAGCCTTGGTGCCCCCCAGTGTGGCTGGAGCTTGAGCATTAGCTCCCAGCTGTGGGGAGAAGCAGTGGGGAGCCAGCTCTAAAGCCCCTGTGTGGCTGGCTTTGCCTGCCAGGCAGGGTGGGCACTGCTGTTCCCCCTCCCACCTGGCTGGGGGAATGGCAGCACCCGCTTGCAGGCTCTATCCCCATCGTTCCATTGGCATGGAATAGTCCCCTCCCCTCACTCCACATCTGCACCCTACCTTTCACTAGGGATGTTAAAATGTGTTTATTTATATAATCATGTAACCGCTGAAAATTTCAGTCGGCTCCCAGTGCGTACCAGTTATTAAGCCGGCTCCCCTTGCATACCAGCTCCTGCCTCCCCTTGCCCACGCACGCTGCTGCCTCTGTATCTGTAAACGGTTCCACCTTCATATCTCTACCTCCCACCCAGACCTCGCATCTCCATCCTGCTCCCCAGCCTCAGTCTCCCTCACACTGAATCCCTCATTTTTTGCCCCACCCTGGGCTATGAATTCACTGGCAGGTTGTTGCGCCAGAAATATGCAAATGAGGCTAAGCGTGGAATATCGCCGAGCCTCATTTGCATACCTAATGAGCCACCATTTTTGCAGAAGAGGCTCTTGTGCCAGAAGGAGCTGTCTACACTGCCCCTTCTTGTGCAAGAAAAAGCCTCTTGAGCAATGCTGCTACGCTGATTATTTTCAGGACTAATGGCATTGCACAAGAGGGTTTTTCTTGCACAAGAAGGGGCAGTGCAGACACTCCTCCTGGAGCAAAAGCCCCTTCCGCAAAAATGGCAGCTCATTAGGTATGCATACGAGGCTCGGCGATATTCCACGCTTAGCCTCATTTGCATATTACTGGCGCAACAACCCGCCAGTATAGACATAGCCCTGGACTGCATCTAGACTGGCAAGTTTAAAAACTTGCCAGCTGTCTACACTGGCCGCCTGAATTTCCACAAGAACACTGACTTCCTACTGTCTGAAATCAGTGCTTCCTGCGGAAATACTATGCTGCTCCCATTCGGGCAAAAGTCCTTTTGCGCAAAGCTTTTGCGCAAAAGGGCCAGTGTAGACAGCTCAGATTTGTTTTGCGCAAAAGCTTGTCTAGATTGGCCCGGACGCTTTTCCACAAAAAGTGTTTTTGCGGAAAAGCATCTGTGCCCATCTAGACGCTCTTTTCCGCAAATGCTTTTAACGGAAAACTTTTCTGTTAAAAGCATTTGTGGAAAATCATGCCAGTCTAGACATAGCCCTGGAGTCTATGGGGGCCCCATAAAATCTGCTAGCCATAGAAGAAATCATTTCTTGGGGAAGCCCTGAGCAATGATGCCCTTCCCAGCTTCTTTTTACTTGGAGGCCATAAAATTTTTTATTATTTTTGTGCGTTTTTTGCTTTTTACTTGTGTGAGGCCCCTGACTGATTGTTCTGTGGGTCCTGGACCCAGCACTAGATAAAATCTGCTAGCCATAGAAGAAATCATTTCTTGGGGAAGCCCTGAGCAATGATGCCCTTCCCAGCTTCTTTTTACTTGGAGGCCATAAAATTTTTTATTATTTTTGTGCGTTTTTTGCTTTTTACTTGTGTGAGGCCCCTGACTGATTGTTCTGTGGGTCCTGGACCCAGCACTAGAAAGATGTGTGCTGATGGGCGGAGCCAGGCATGGCCAATAAGCCTATTCCCGCCTCTTTGCCCCGCAGAGCCAATGGAAACAGAGGAGGCTT